CAGGAAAAAGTTTGGGGACCCCTGATCTAGCTAGTAAGCTGCAGAGATGCACAGCTCAGGTGGGATGTGTGTGTCGGACACATCACTGTGAACAAACCTTCTTCATCATGAAACATGGTGGTGGCAGCATCATCACCTGCAGTGAGACTTGAAAATGGGTGTTCACAGAAGCTCCATTGTGAGCAGGTTTGAGCTGTTCAGCAAGGCAGAGTGGTCAAAAACACCTGTGATTTTTTTCTTTTTTAAGAAACTATTGATTCAGTTTGCAGGCCACACTTTTCAGATTTTTCTCAGTAAGAATAAAAGGTTAAAATGCATGTCCTTTTTCTTCCACTTCACCAGTTTGAATTATGCTCAGTTTTTCTGCCAAATTAAAGTTTGTGGTTGTTACATGGCAAAATGTGGTGGAATATTCAGCTGAAAGTGACACATAAACATCCCAAATACTAGATAAATAACTTCAGGTGATCAATTTTAAGAGGAAACTAAAAGCAAAGACGCTCAGGGTCATTTCAGCTGAATTTTTATAACAGAAGATCATCAAAGGACTAAATGCTTTAACTCTGCAGTGTTTCCCTGAGTTCCCTCAGAGGTCGACTATTACATTTTACTTTAATGCTGCTTAATAAGCTTTAAATCTCACTCGTAAAAGAAAGAAAAAAAAGGAAGCCTGTAAGTATTTCACATCATTTCATCATTGTGCTTAAACAGGGAAATATCAATACCGCGCCCAGGAGCAACGAGTCCCAGTTCTCGTTGGTGAAGGACAGGATTTCATGGTCGAAATCAAAGTATTTCCTCTTACAGCACAGCGAGAGGTGGTAGAGGACTAAATGAGCCAGGTCCACCCTGCAGTTAGAGAAAAATACTTTGTTAGTGTGGTTAAAAATATTTCCAAATTCATTTCTGATTCGTTATTGAAATTAAAAATCATTTCTAACCAGGTCATGGGCAGCCTCTGGACTGTCTCCGGTCCCTTTGTACAAACTGAACACTGGAACTGATAAAACCTGAAATAAACACGCAGAAAAAATCAGTCTTGTTTTCTTCTCTGGATAAAAATAAAATAGAGAGAGGTGTATCTTTTTAGATAATACCGCTCAGCTTTAAAATCTGACCCTGAAACTTACTTCCTTCCTTTTATCTGCATGAAGGTCACGGTGAGAAACGAGGCGCCTGCACTGTGAGACAGCTGCACACGCTCACTATTCTAACTGTAAACTCGATCTTCGCTCCTCTTCCATCACCTGCTCTGCAGATGTTCCTCCCATCCTGTCAGTCTCGATTTAATCCCTTCTTTTCTGCTCCCACTCGCACAGTTTGGTGTCAGGATGGGCGTAAAAAGCCCCACAAAGACGGGTAATTGTAATGATAACCTCAGTGGATGGATGTGTTTTGCTACGTGGAGCAGATGCTCTGGAGTGTGTCACTTTGAGCTGAAGACGAGCCGTTGTCCTCGTCACACTGTGAACATTAACATACACGCTCACTAATCATTTAATCTGGAGGTAATTAAGGCCGTTTGTTGACAAGTGAAGCCGTCACGGCGACATATTGATTACATTTATTTTTCCCTCAGACCAGCATCTAACTCTATGATTAACGTGCTAATTACAAACTTTGATTCATTGTTTGTTTTGGTAATAAAACTGATACATAGTTCCTGTTTCTAGCCATTTAAAAAGTTTTGTTTTTCGTTATAGATACTAAACAAAGGTCTGCAAGTAAAATGTCAGATTTTTTTTATGATTCAATCTTAACTGAAAATCAAATAAATCTGTTGGAAGGAAAACAAAACACAACAAGCCCAAACTAATATGTTGATTCAGCTTCAGCTGCAGAAATCTTCTATTATAATGAATCTGATTAACGTGAAATAAAGTTCAAGAGTTGCAGCTAAATTTTCCCAACTTCCAAATTTCTACTCTTTAGAGAGGAAGTAATTCCTTAATATTGATTTTTTTTTAAAAGTACTTGTTCCAGTGGGAGATTATTTCACTTATTCCTCCCATATTATAAATGAAATAATTCCATTAATAAATATTAAGGAATTACTTACTTAAAACAAGATTCTAGATCTTGTGGAAAAGTTATTTGTAAACTAGTTTTGCCTTGTTTCTAGTCTTCTAATGTATTTGCACTAAAAACTGGACCAAAAATACTTTGTAATTCATTCAGCATCAGGTTGGATGAAGTTATGAATTCATCCGAATACCAGAGAGTTTTCACCTAAAATCTTCAGACCTCTACTAGAAAGCTTTACGATGGGTCTGACTTACATCTATAACAAAATAAGAATAACTTCATGAGAATAAAAATAAACAAATCAAAGACATTCTCATTTTCATCTCACACCAAACTGCCTTCTTGAAAGAGATTACAATCTGCAAATTATTTGAAAATTACCAAACTTTTAGTACCCAATGCTATTTCTTTCTGTTAGTTAAAGGGACTTTTCTCTGCATGCTTTCATATTGTCTAATTAATCCATCTACTATCAGTGAGTATGTGTGTTTTAAATACTTTCACAGTTGAGAAAATATTGTTTCTAAGCTAAATCATTTAAACATACAGAAATAAATACAAAAAGTGTGTCATGATAGTGTGAGCTCCATCAAACAGCCCACCTGACAGATGCTTATTTTTCCTCATTAAGCTGTTCATGATTTATTTTAGCTGTATATATATTTTCCCTAAATGAGTAACGTACCTGTCTCCATACAGCAACGGCTTCAACAGACACTGAGTGCAGGCCTCGTGGAACCACTGACCACAGCTGCCACACTGCAGCATCTTCAGGTTCCACCTGCAGCCCAACAACAACAAAACCCGTCAACAACAAACCCACCAACAAATGGACATGTCCAAAAGGAAAGAAGAGACCACTGCACCAGACCACAATGAAAACCTCATGGCTATTCCACCAAATACTGATTTCTGAACTCTTCCTGAGTTAAAACGTTAGTATTGTTGTTTCTAAATGAAGATTAATTTGTTTTGGGTTTTTTTTTTTTGCATTATTTGAGCTCTGAAATCACTGCATTTTTTTCATTTATATAATAAATAAATACTAATGTCAGTTCATAGAATAAAAGAACAATGTTCATTTTACTCAAACATTTTCCGATAAAGAGTGAAATCAGAGAACTGATCGTTTTGCAGTGGTCTCTTAATGTTTTCCATAGTTGTATCTACATAACCAGATTGATTCCTGAAGTTAGAGAGCGCACATACAGACAGCATCAGATGGCACTGCTGGTAGAAATGTCTGAAAAATTCATAAATTGATATTTCATTTCAGTAGATTAATCTCAGATTGTATCAGTCATTGTTGGTAATGATCCAAATCAACACAGAACTTGTTCCTCTTGGTGAGTTTATTAATGTATTCTTTACTCTTTTTCATTGCTCTTTCGTTTTGGTTTCTTTATCTTCTCAGCTCCTCCTGAGTTCATCATTTTGCTTTTGATGAATTCACCTGTAATTATCTGGTCCATTTGTGTCAAAAACACTTTTACCAGAAGAGCCAAAACATGGAGGGTGTTGTAGTCAGAATTGGCGCCACTCACTCTCCAGGTCCGGCGCAGTAGCAGTAACACTGCTGCTGATTGGTCAGATGCTGAGGATCCCAGTCTAAGGACGACAGCTGGTAGGGGAGCCGGAGTTTCATGAACTGCATGAGTCGGGCGAAGCGTCCGCGTTTCAGAGCTCCGCCTCTCTGCAGAGACAGTTTCAGGACAGAGATGCTCGCTTTTATATCGCTCTCATATCAGTAAGCAGATCAGGCTCGATTAGAAGATGGATCTTTGTCTCATTTCATCGCAGGTCAGCTGTGAGAGATGGAGTCTGAGACCAGACCAGAGGATCTGGACAATGAGCTCCGCTCCACTGACCGATTAATAATGAACCCACTTCTCTCTTATGTCTACAGAAACGGAGCACATGTGATGGATTGATTTTTAATGTGCTCCTCTCAACTCCACTGAAGCATAAATATAAATATTGACTGCTTGCAATTTCTCTGACATGGCGCGGAACATATTGAAGTCAACACTGAGAAATTCAGTGAGATTCTTGCTCCAATAAACACATTTTGCGCCTCACACATTACCATGTGGATAGATATATTTGACTGGATTTCTTAGCTCTTTTTTTAAAAAAAATGTGAGACGGGGAGATTAGCAGCCTGACCTTGGTGGCGACAGCAAAAACACATTGTCGACAAATCCAGGAGTCGCTGTCAGCTTCTGGCTCGATGGTCGGCGTGTGGCACTCCGGATGATAACCTGTAATGGGAAGAGGCAGAGCCTTTAAATCGTCTTTGCAGGACAGAAAGCCTGGATGACGCTAATAACAGGCCTGCTCCATTTTCACTTCTTTACGAGTTCATTTCAGAAGCATGCAAGCATCCAACTGTTGAATTTGCATATAAGAAGCAGAGTTTGCCAGCATTATTCCAGAAAACAGACGGTCAGCATCTTTGCTTGAGGATGACATGATGGTAGAATCTCCCTCCAGGACCTGCTGCTACACGGTGGCTCTTTAGATTGATTTCAGCTGCATTTATCAAAGTTTTTAACATTTGTATTTTCTACCAGATATGGAAGGGGTTTTGCAGTTTGACATCAAGAGCTTTACAGAGAAACAATGCCAACAAAGGACTGCACATTTGATAAGAAAGATTAGCTTTGTTGCTATAGTTAGCTTATATTATTACATGGAGTTATTACATGGTCTGTTAATCACGGTTCAGTATTCACAGATTTTCCTGTGGAATGCAACTCCAATTTATTTTTGGAAAATTCACCAGTTTACAGATTTGTTTCTCAGAGCATATCTAAAATATTCAAAAGCACAGGATTGGACTTCTCTGCCCCCTCAACACGACCCCGGATTAAGCAGAAGATAAAAAATGGATGTATTTATTTTGATAGATGAAATTAATATAGTTTTACACTTTAGCTTTAAAATGTTTAGTTTCTTCAAGCTGCTCATACATGATGCCGTCATGGTTAATTGTTTTTCTGCCATTCAGTTGCTGCGTTTCCATTAACTATTTGAATTGCGCAAATTGAAATTATGAAAATAAATTTGCTTAAATTTGCTGTAATTTTGAAAGAACTAAAATCTTTTTGTGCCAGGAAAGGTGGTTTTTCGGCCGTATCGAAATATATGTATTTCGCAAAACTACAACGGACACACTTTTTTTCAAATCACAGGAGTCACATGGTCAACAGTCCAATGTTTACTACTGGCAAAAACGACAAAGAACACGGTGACAGGATGTAGTAGGAGGTCGGTTTGCTTTGTTTATTTTGTCAGACACTGTGCAGCTGGCTCCACCAGAGCTCTCACAGCATCTGACTTTTATCATAAAAAGTTGTGTCATCTGAACCCACAGCTCTTCAGTAAAATCGTCACCTACAATTTCACCAAAACGCTGCAGGTGCAGCAGATCCAAAGTAGGCGGGGCTTGTTGCTCTGACGCCAGAATAAGACGCTGACGTCTCCTCTGCTGACTGATATATGATGAGCACTAGCGCCATGGCTGAATTATGAATATATCTCATGTAACTGTTTACATCTGTCGCTGTCATGATTTTTAATGACTTATTAAAAACAAGCTTATTTACAAGTGATTTTGATATAATTTCTTATTAATTTTTATTTTATTTTTTACATTAGCAGAATACAGACAAAAGATTTGCACGTTTGTAATGGAAACGCTGCCAGTGAAATGCTCCTGAGATCCTCTGGTTCCAGATACTCTGATCCTAGCAGTGATACTTCCATATTTCTCTTTAAAGATGAAACCATCTCTGTTTCTTTTGTTAAAAAAAATTCTCATTCTAACACCCAATAGTCACATTTATTTGATCTTCTATTCTCCGGTCTAGAGTTTGAATTCATTCTCAGATCAATATTGATGAAACGCTAAGCTAGATTTAGCAGAAATCATCAGTCGGTTACATTCCTCCTCCCAGTGACACGGCTGCTCATCCTTGTTCATCTTGAAATGTTCTGAAGCTGGGATCTTAACTCAGTTTCTCTAAAGATCTGATCATTTTTGAGGTGACGTTTTCTTTGCAGAATTACATCCATAATAATAAACATTTGTTCCCAATAATTGGTCTGGTTTCTTTATCTTTAAAAGAATTACAATGGCAAATTTGTAGATTTCTGAATTAGAATAAAGAGACAACGAAGACGCCCTGAAAGATTTAAATCTATAAGTTCTGTGTCTCTTAATGTCTTATTTATTTTCCCTCCCCTGTGAGAGCAGACCCGACAACTCTTAGCCATCATTTATGATATGCGGCTTTCTGTGTTGTTATTTACCATCCTGTGTCAAACCTTCAAGGTCACTACCGGCTCTGACGGAGAAGCAGCATTTGACAGAGCATGATGAGGCATGCCTCCTTACCGTGGTGACATTTAAGACAATTTATGAGGGGTTCTTTAAGAGGCGGGGCGTCACAGATACAGCAAACTTCTTCCACTCCGGCAGCGACTGAGGGAAACAGGAAAACAGAAGGGAGGGGACGATGTAAATGTGAGAGGAAGACAGAAACACAGAGAGAGAGAAAGCAGTCAACTGCATTAATTTATGTATATTGACTCACGTCCCTGCCACCTCATTGATTTCAGTCGCCTGCACCTTTGGTTTGACGCGTTGATGTTCAGCCTGGTCCTAACAAGTGTCCAACCTCCCCTTCGACTCAACATGAGGTGGCAAAGGACAGTCCTCTCCCTGAAGGCTCATTAGTCTAATAACTTCATTAATTGACTCTAATAATCCAGAAACAAGAAGCTTCCACAACGGGCTTAATGCTAATGTGGGTAAATATATGTACATTTAGCATTTCAAGATGACAGAAGAGAAATTAAGACACAAGTTCAAAAAGCAGGAAAAATCTGAAAATGTTTCTTTAACTTTAAGCTGACTGAGACAATTTATGCATTTATTCAAAATATGTATTCAAACTTTATTCTTTTTTTAATCATTAACATAGATTCCTAGATGTATCAATATTCTCCATAAAAGCTCACATTTAGTCAGATTTCTTATTTTAAAAACCTTGTCTGCACATACAGCACATTAACAGGAAATTGCTAACTGGATCAAATAATAAAGGTGCATTTCACAATATTGTGTTAGCCCTGATCCGTTATATGTCCACTAGAGTCTGAGGTTCAGATTAAATGTGCTGACGTGTCTCAGAGCTGCGCTGCTGTGGTTGCTGCCTCCGAGAGGCTAAAAGTAATAAACTCAGGCAGTGCACTGCAGCCATACAATACCTGTTAACTTTTCAATGTACAGAAGGAAAACTTGTTATTATTTGGACAAACAAAAGTAAAGCATGATTCAATCAGCTAAAGTACACAGCAGCCCTGCAGCAGCACCGCATCTCCAGAACCAGACCAAACAGGATCGTTTCAAAGCGCTTACAGTAAAAAACAAAAGAAAAATTCAACCAAACACGATGAAACGTCTACATAACTGTCAGCGGTTTAAAATGAATGAGACGCATGTTTCAGCAAGAGAAAAAAAGAGCTCCAATCAGGATTATAAACTTTTACAACTAAGAAACTTTAACCAACCAAAGTAAAATAATTATCCTTTCTACAAAATAATTAAAATCACAGCAATTTTAGTGAAAATGTGTGACTGCAGGAGATGAAAATGTTATTTTACTACACAAATTTCTCACTGTAAAATATGAATAAATTCACTCAAAACCTAACGAGGACACACTGAGGAGTGGCATACATTAATTTCTTAAAAACTAATTATATGCTAATGATATAAATTCCTGTGTCTTTGTTGTCATTTTTCATGCACAGTATACCTGAACACCTAAGACAAAACGCTGATGAGAGAGTTTATTATTACTCTCACAGCTGGACGCAGAATCCATGGCTTATTAAAAATTGGTATTTTGGAGTTGAGGTGGGTGATTAAAGTTTTATTTTTATATTTTGCGGTACTGTGGTGAAAACAATAAATAAGAACTATTTATTACTTCTTTTTAAAATAACTTTATGAGTGTTGCTACATAACACAGCAAGCAAAATAAAAAACATTTCTAATTTGCTTACTAAGGTTTGTCTCAGTAAACTTCATCTAAACAAACAGTGGATGAGATATTCAAAATAACAATCCTGACAAGTTTTTTAACATCATCAATTGGAATGTATTGTGACAACAATGAGTTAAATTTGATCAAGATAAATAATAAACAGTACGATAAACTCCCGTTAGAGTGATTTTATTTATGTTTTAGAATCTAACTGATATAACAACAACAGGCTCATAATGAGCTCAAAATATTACTAGAAAAACAACAAGAATGCCGCTAATATCAAAGGTTTACTTGCAGCTACCACAAATATAAAACATGGCAAGAGTTACAGGTATAAAAGCATCTATTCACATTTTGACAGCTTGTCTTTACTTAAACTAGTGAGGTTTGCTGTGAAGATGCTCCGTGAGAGAAATATTTTGTTGTCAGGTTTTATTGCGACATTAAATCAGGCTAAACTTTTGCTGCTTCAGCTCTGTTACGATTGCCAAAATATGACTTGTAGAATTTTAAGTATTACATTTCAATGTATTTCTCCAAATTCATAAGTTTAGTTACACAAAGAGTCTTTTGATGGGCTAATTCATAACATTTTAACTGGAGGCAAACTGGTGGACGTATTTAAAACACAGTGCTTCCTTTTGTGACTTTATGTAAAAATCTAAATAGAGTATTGTGTATCTTCACAACTCACTTTCAAGAAAGATGCTGAAACAATTACAGAGAGAGTAAACAGAATGCGAATGTTCAGCCATCACACTGTCCAGGAAAGAGATACTTTCTGTGTCACAGAGATTAACAGGTTTTGGTGTCAAATGTTCAAATCAACCCTGGAACAAAAAACCAAAAGACCTTGTGAAGATGCTGACTGAAGCTGTTAAGAGAGAGTCATTATTCACAGCGAAACAAGTCCTGCACCGACAGAGAGGGAAGAGCAATTACTCAAAAAACAACATACCTGTCCCGTAGTCTGATGGAATAAAAACTGAGCTGTTAGCTTTTATGGATATCGTTACATTTGGAGCAAAACAGCGGCACACTTTAACCTGTCTGTCACTACAGGACCCAAATTTGGGTCCTCTAGTGACAGGGGTGTCAAACTCCAGTCCTCCAGGGCCTCTGTCCTGCAACTTTTAGATGTGCCTCTGCTGCACCACACCTGAAAAGAATAATTAGGTCATTAGCAAGGCTCAGGAGAACCGATCTACACAGGGAGGAGGTAATTAAGCCATTTCATTCCACTGTTTTTTACCTGTGGCACATCTAAACACTGCAGGACAGCGGCCCTTGAGGACTGGAGTTTGACACCCCTGTCATTGTGAATGACAACCTGAGACCAACAGGTTAAGTCTTAAGCATGTGGGTGTAAGCATTATGCTGCGTTAGCAGTTTGCTGCAGGAGGGACTGGTGCTCTTCACAAAATCCATAAGGAAGATTTATGTGGAAATAGTGACGCCACATCTCAAGACACCAGCTGGGAAGTTAAACATAAAAAGGTTTTCCAAATGAACAGCGACCAAAAGCCGAGCACCAACTTAATTATGAAGTGTCTTAAGGACGCAAAGTTAGGATTTTGGAGTGGTCATCACAAAGCCCATCTCAGAGAAAAATATTTTCAGAGCTGAAAAAATTATGGGAACAATTTATAAACCTGACCCAGTTAAACCAGTTCAGTCAGGAGGAAAGTGCCACAATTCCAGAAAAGATAACAGTATGACCCAATTTACACAGTTTAAAAAACAAGTCCACTATATGTTACAGAAATGTTAACCTGGATGTTGCCTTCGAAAGCAATTCTGCTGGATTCTCATCTCCCTTCTGTGCTCTAAGTTTTCTCCCATTGACCTCGATTTCTCCAGTAGAATTTCAACAGGGCCAATCAGTGAACAGAAGGAGCTGGGAATGATGATGCCAGTTTTCAGCGTTGCTTTCGAATTGTACTCCTCCTATACGGGGTTTGGCTTGGCAATGGCAGCAGAGGAGGTCTGCTGGCAAAGATGTCGGGGTCGTTCATATCACACGCAATTTCCGATAAGCTTCATCGAGCTGGCGCTTTACATAAACCACGGCTGAATGTCCGCACCTCCAGCAAGCAATCCTCTATCAACTGTGTATGTGATGAATCAAAGCATTCATCACACACATTTCAAGGCTAAGAAAATGTATGTGAACTTCTCAGTTTGAAAGAAGTTGAAAAATCTCTAGAAAGGTCCCTTTTATTGTTGTGATATTTAGCAAATAGAAAAGATTTTGGCAAGCCCAAATCAGAAACATTTAGTCCACTTTAACCTGCTGTAAAAAATTGGCTTCAACAATGTCTTTGGCTGCCGCTAAGTCTACGCTACAATGGATTTTACTCAATGGAAAAGTTCTCCCTACGCAGAAAGCTTTACTCCGCCATCAGAGGGAAGAGGAGGCAGTTACTCTTACACGAGTGAATGTCCTTTCTCAGAACCCAGAACTCTGAGTTGTCCTCGAATCTCACCAAGCAGCACTGCTTGACTCCATCGACCTGAGGATGGGGGAGAAAGGAGGAGACAATTATGGGAGTCTTTCAACACACGACCACTTGAAAAGTATCTTCCCAACACACTTACTCTCTTCACATTGCCAAGGTACAGTAGTCCATCACTCCAACGAGCCAACACATCATCTCCCTCACTGACTCCCCCCATCCTGAGGAGAGACACAGAGAGGAGAAAGCAGGGCTTGTGTGAAAATGGAAATCCGATTTATCCGTTGAATACTTTGCTGCCGTTGCTGACATACAGGGTTTACGTCCCCCGGCCTCTCAGACAGCCGGCTTTCAGTCCAAAGGGGTTAAAATTTCATCCAAACACACACACTCACACGCACACTCCTCTTCTTCAGACTTGAGCATAGCGACAGCCTGTATCCACCAGAGTGAAAGATGAGAGTGAGTATACACAACCAGAGAGCAAGACAAATGATTACTGCACACATCAAACACACACGCACACACACATAGGGGAAAAAGCACTGCATGATGACTGCTGCAACACAGTTTAACTGGATGCAGCTACTTGAAGCATCTGCCTTGCACTTTGCCCGCCGTCTTCCTCGCCTCCTTTCTCAACAGCTTAAAAACTTGAATAGATGCATGAAGCGACTCCTCGGGCGTTTTGTCTTTTGCACACTGAGCATTTGTTCCAGTGCATGCACACATGTCAGTGCAGACGCAGCATGCAGAGCGGCATTATCAGATGGAGAATTGAACAGTGGGGGCTGGCCGGCTGAAGGGTACCTGTCAAGTCGAACTCCTTTCCGTCGGGGTCACTGGGATTCCTGGACAGGCTGGACATGAAATGCCCTCATCAGCTGTGGATGTCCAATTACTGCCAGCTCCGATGCGCAGCGTGCTGGTTTGCAAAAAGTGGCTGGTGTGCATGCATGTCTCTGTCTGTGCCAGGCGCCTCGCTCTGAGTGTGTGTGAGTGTGTGTGTCAGTCAAACCGTCAGCAAGGAGGAGGAGGTGGAGGAGGAGGCGACTGTGACTGTCCGTCCGTCTCTCTCAGACTAGTTTGTCCGTCCTTTCTCCGCGGTGCCGTTTCATCATGTCCCCGTCGCTGTTGCTCCCTCACCCCCCACACTCTCACACCTCACCCCTCTCCCCGCCGCCGAAGCTTATTAAGGCGGATTTTGTCTGAGCTGCACCGGAATCAAGCCGCCAGAGACGCCATCATCCTTCTGCCTCTCGCCCTCCGCCGACTTGTTGTGACGCAGACATAAAACACAGAGCTATCGTGGGAGTGGGTTGGTGGGGGCATCCAGAGGTGTGGGAAGTGTGCTCGTGTAAAGGGGTGTGGGGGGTCCTTGCTGTCTGAGAGCGTGACCCTAAAATGATTGTGACACGCTTGTGATGTGAGAGGGCAGGAAGTGAAGGATGCAGTGTTGCAGCGCGCGCGGTGACAGGGGCCAATTAAGCGGCCAATTAGTGACTTTAGCCGCCTCATTAATTGGTCTCCGACAAGAACTAAGATCCAAGTTTAGGAGAGGAGAGAGGGAAAGTTTTCAAACGGAACAAAACTGAGGCCAGCACTTCAAAGGGTTCGGATCTGAAGCCTCGGTCAAAATTAACTTAATGCTTCTTTAATAAAGTGGCTTTCTGAAGGCTGAAGGTAACATAACGCATGCTTTCATCTTCCTGAAAAGACAAAAATGGCATCTGTTTAAAAAAATTAATGATAAATACTGAGATTTTGTTGTAACCTTAATGGAATGGAAGGAAAATAAAAAATATTTCCTGCACGTCCATCTGTATTTTTGGGGGGTTTGTTTGAAAATAACACACAATACCTTATATCTAAAATAAAATGATAAATTGTTGAAATCAAATTCTATTTTCCAATTCAACAGACTGTACATGTTAAAATAAAAACGCTTACAGTAAAGTCAACAGAAAACGATCGTGTCGGCATATTGGCTTACTCTCAGTTGATTTTTTCCCCCAGAACCATCTCACGACTTGTTGTTCATTTCTTACACGTTAAATATACCAGTCAGTCAGACATGTGGTAACGCCGCTGTATACGGTTCAAAATGGCCCCTGGCACATTGAAAATAAAGGTGGAAGTTTAGATTTCCATGTGCGACCACTGGAGGGCGCGCAACTACCAAAAACTCTGCGGCCGAAAGCCTGGATGGCTGGTCATGTCCAACGAAGAATGCTGTAATTTCATAAAACTCTTCATTTTGTCATTTGAAAAATTTACTTAAACGAGATTAATGATGGAAAGATGCTGGTCCAAAAATATTAAACGAGTTTATATGAATAAAACAGCGCAATATCACAGTTTGTAAGGCCCTTAAACAGTGTAGTCATGTTGTGTTCACACACTATATGCAACATGCAGTAAGAGCATCATCTGCACTTAATCTGAATTCACATGTTTATCATTAGATCAAGGGTCACAGACTGTGCAGATTAGAATAAACAGGAAGAAAGCTAAAGGTCAGTAAAGCAGAGAAACTGAAGGAAGTTCTTAAGATTTTGTTGAAATGTCCAAATTTGGACTTAAAACACCCAGACTAAAGTAAAGATTTGTGTTTATAGTGGGTGATAGATAATTTTTCTCAAGAGGCACTCATCAGGTCTGTGTGTTTTTAGAGAGAATAAATGAAAAAATAAAGTCAGTTAAAAACTGGGATTATTATATTTTTGATATATTACAAACAGACATACTAAATTTTTAATGCTTTGTTGTGTTTCCTTTTGCATAAATTACCATATCAATGCAGAGTGGCATGGAGGCAACCACCCATGTCCTGAGGTTTTCAGAAATCCCAGGTTGCCTCAAAAGCAGCCTACAGATTTCTCAATAGACAATACTCAATAGATTCTCTGTAGGTTCTAGATCAGGTCAGTTTGTTGGCCTGTTAAGCACAATGAAAACTAAGTGATTAAAGAGGGTACTGTTTCTTTTAGCAGTGTGAACAGCTGCCAAGTTGTGATGGTAAATGAAATCAGCATCTCCATAAAGCTTCTCAGCAGAGGGAAGCACAAAGTGCTCTAAAATCTTCTAATAGTTGACTCTACACTTGGCAAAGCACAATGACATGGCTCCACAAATCATAATGAAAAAAAGCCAACAAGGAGATATAGGGAGTGTAAGAATTATTATGTGTTGTTATCACTCGTACATTAGTAGTTGTACATTACTAGTTTGTTTTTCATTTAAAGGTTTTAGCTTTCTACTGTGTGTGTGAACCGATGCTATGTTGAAACTTGTGTCTTCCCACACGTGTAGGTTAAGAAAATACCTATCAGGGCGTACACAGGGTAAAGCAGAGATGTAACAGGAGGAACCAGCAAGGAGTGACTGAGAACGAGGTGCTTAAGTACTTAGGGAAGTGAATGCTGAACATAAGACCTGGGCCGATGAGCTAACAGGTTGCAGGTGTGAGAAGAAAGCAAAAACCAGACTGTAAAGAGAGAGAGGAAGAGGAAGTGACACAGGGGGTGAGAGAGAGCACTGGGGACCAGGAAATGAATCTAACAAAATAAGAAACATAATAATAAAAAATAGATTAAATAAGAAAAGGAGAAGACACAAGAAATGGACATATCTAGACTCATGAAGAAGGAACTAGGGTAAAAATATAAATAAGGCAGAACAAGCAGAAAGAACTAAGGAACACAAATAAACCCAAAATAAACTCAAACAACCCAAGATCCTGACATATTCTTCATACTTCCTCTAGACTGAAGGATCTGGATTTCATCTGTACAGAAGATTTTGGACCACTGAGCAACAGTTCAGTTTCTTTTTCTCCAAGTTTGTGGTTAAGGAGTAACTTAGAAAAGTGTCAGTGGTAACTCATGTCTGGGATACATCTGTTTGAGATGCCTACTGATTTCAGCTGCAGTTCACTTGGACAAATAAATGTTTTTTGATGGAAATTCATTAATTTTTTGAACTACAATGGTCTTATTCACCGTCGTAGATTTTTTATCACTCATAATGAAATAAAAATAGTAATATTTTTTTTATTTAAATATATTCTAATTCACGGAGATGGATATGCGATTATACTGCAGGTTAATTGTAAACTATCCATGTGAGGATCAATGAGGACAGAGATAACATGGATCACACAGCCATGTTTACAGCTTTGACTCATTTTTAAAGTTTCAAGGTATTAATAAGCCTCTAAATGTTTGAAATATTTTTTTATTGCGTCTACAGTTTGATTTAAATATGTAATAACAACCAGACCATAACCTTTAAATTCATCTGATAAAAGTTCAGGGTGCTTCAGGGTGGTAACACACAGAGCGTGTTTACAGTGTACGTGGCGTGCGCGCCGGTCAGCGGTGCGTAAAGCGCGTCCGCGTCGCGTCTCTCAGCTGCTCCAACTCCCCGGGTGAGCGGCACACTGTCTGCGGTTACTGCGCAGCGTTGTGTGCGGCGTCCGGCTCACGCCGCCGCTGTGAGCCACTCAGAGAGACGGATCTGTTACTAGAGCGCCGAGAGCTGAAACATCCAGGAACTGCGACGTTAGGGGGAGCAGCTGCGGCTGCGGCAGGAGGAGGAGGAGGAAGAGGAGGAGGAGGAGAGAGTTTGCTGCCACACCAAAGTGCGTTATCAGCTGCTGAAGGCTGGACAGACGCGAGGTGTGGGGGACGCTGATAGAGAGGGGGAGACTCTTTGGAGGGCGTAGAGGTGAGGTAAGGGACGGAAACTCCCTCCTGGTTGTCGGAGGTGACCGTGGCACCGATGGGCGCGACTTCCCCCAGCTGAGCCGCCGTTCTTTACCCGGCAGCGGTCCTCAGATGCTGCCTCTGATCCGCCTGACAGTTGGATAAGTGGCGACCCAGCTCTCAGTGAGTTCACCCACAGCTGCCTCTATCTGTGTTTCTCTGTTTGCCTGTTTTTTCAGACCATACAGTATCTGAGTCACAGTAGGAAGCAGTTAGTTCTCTGCTGTGTGTTTTAATGGGAGTGCCAGCACGCAGAAACTTTTACAACCCTCATAATTTCAAGCGTTTCTCTCTGAAGGATCCAGACTGAACATATCTGAATCATACAGCTAATGCCAGTGTGACTTTAGTGTCCAGCTTTATGTGCCTGTATATGTTTATACCTCAGTCATATGTGGGCTGTTTGCTTTGGTCAAAGCCTCTGAATAGCAGCCTTTCAGACCTCTGCACAGCCGTTGGTGAGAACACATGCTGCACTGTTGATGCCTTGTTTCCCCTGCAGCCTGTTCCCTCCCCACCCACCCCTTACCCACCTTTCCACCTCCTTTCATGCAGACTGCAACGCTGCTCTCTTGAGAAACCGAGCAGAATCTTAAATCTTACAGCAAATCCGGGATGATGTAAGACAAAGTATTGCACAAAGGCAGCTGCATGAGTCGAGAAGGAAAGAAGAAGAAAGTTGGGTCTGCTTTTTGGAGCTATTTTCTGATGCAGGAGGTTATTATTACCCAGGCTGGGGCTGATGCAGTCTTAGCATTCATAAAAATGATTCTGCATGTCTTTCTCAGGAGAACAATCAAAAGATTTTACACAGCATGCAGAATCAAAACCTCTTTAGCTAAAATCACAACACAAGAGTATTCATCAGCTTTTACATTATCAACTAGGACATCTCTATCCCTCCTACACCTCTCTTCCTCAAACAGTGTTTACTCGATGTCTATCTTCACGTCAAATACCGAAGAGGGGAAAAGGAAATGGAAGGAAAGGTTGCTATGCAAATCCAGGCCTGCTTTCCGGGACAGTGACTGAGTTAAACAAATGAGTCAAGGCCTGCCGCCCATCACTAACGCCACTGTTTCTGTTTCTTTCATCAGAAATGTCCTTAAAAGTTACTGAAGTGCTTCATAAACATTTCAGCTCAGGCTTTGTTCTGGAGCTCAACCTGGTTTTACAAATGTAGTTATTTGTCAAGAGTAATTGTCTATTATTTATCAATTATTTGTCTAAAGTACAGATTCTTAGTGCCTGATTAATACAGATTCAAATGCAAGAAGTAGGCCTGTCATGATAACAAATTTTACTGGCTCATAAATTATCCCAATAAACAATAAATATTGTTATTTTGAGACCATTTTCAAGTAAAATATTGATAATTATGTAATAATGCGTGCTCGCCTTCTCAAAGTCCAATAAAAATCAGTTTTGTGAAGGACACCTAACACTAGAAGTAGAAGATGTTCTAAATATCCAAAATAAAAGAAAACAACCAAAAACAATAAATAAAAGTCACAAACTGAAAAAAATTAAATAAAAACTACGAATCATCAGAATGGAAATGATCAAGCTCATTTAAATGTATTAAATTATTAATTGCTTATTGCAACAAGCTTAGCAAGGAGATGTTTGTTTTGAAAAGCAAAATAGAATATTTAAAACACTTATAATTACTGATTCTTTTTTTTTTGGTGTCCCTAATAATTGAAGCCAGAACTCAGTGATAAGGTCAAATTTTTAAGTGTTAATGTTTTAAAACAAGGCAAAATCAGAAAGAAGAATGAAGATGCTAAAATAAATATTTCTTCATTTCTGTCCCAATTTAATCACTATAATAGAAACAAACTTTCGGTTGTCAAAGTTTCTCCCACCTTCTGAGTGGGATGTAAAACTTCAGGTGTTGCTCCAGTTCAAACTTACAACTAAGAACTCAGATATTTCCATTTCCTGGCACTACTCCAACGCACCACAACAACAAAAAGTTCCTGTTGTCTCTAGAAATGTTATGATGTAACATTACAGCTGAAATTCACTCACTGGAAACCTGGAGCAAAATAAACCCCAGGAATTTCTTCATAATCACGGTGTTTTCAAAATATTGCAACCTGGTTTTCTACATGAAGATCGGTAAAGGATTGTTCATCTCCACAATTTTCACAGTCGGTTGTTTTGTTTTTAAGCAAGGATGTAAATTATTTGCTGATTCACACTTGAAAAAGATACTTTTCTGACAAATGTCAAGCTAAATATGCCTTGGACTGCTGTGTTCCTGGCAACTCAGATAATGTAATTCTGTATTTGCATTCCAAATAGGCTTAGCATGTGACCCTGCTGCACTCCTCCTCCTTGTGTTTGTCCTCCATTTAAATCAGGAGTGGTAAAGGAAGAGCTCTTGTGTGCATCAGTGTGAAACCCAAACAGACTGCTTCCAACATACAGGTTTCAATATGTAGGCAATTATTGTCATAAGATGCAAATAATTTGGGAAGATAATAATCAGTTGACTTGAAAAAGAGACTAAGCTACGTTTCTGATCTAAGCAAAGGTTGACCATTGAATGCTGTCTTGTGTTTTCTTCCTGTCTGTGGCAGCCGGCACCATGCTCCACCGTAACCTGCGAACAGGTGGCTATAACCTGCCGGGGGTGGAGTCAGGCGAGGTGCCTCTCATTGGCTACCGGCCCTTATCGCCTGATGGGGGAACCCCAAGCAGCCAGTCAGGGAGGAGCGAAAATCTGGAAAATTCACAGGTAAGTTTGTTTTTGTCCACCTGCAGCGTGTAGCAGAACTTTGTGAAGGGAAGTTGGCGCTGACGCCGCGGCTCAGTTCTGTGAATACATTCATGGCGTTTATAAACCATGAATGATACTTCCGATTTCGTCTGTTCTCCGAGGTTTACACATTAAAGTGATTTACACACTGTAGGCTCATTTAGCTTCATCACAGCTATCAGCATTCAGAGCAGTGTCACATGAAACCGTATGATCTGTGTTCAGTTTTTAGTTTGTTAAATAAACATCAGATGCGGTTGCCTGGTTCTCAGAAAACAGAGGAAATAAAGCCAATGTGACGTACATGAAGGGAGTGTATGTGTACATATTTACCATTGTTGAGCAGAAAAATCATACATTTAGTCTACTCCATACTAGTTATGAAAAGATGTAATAAATTTACAAACACAGTTCTCAATTTATAATCTGAATTCTGATTTTGAGAAATCTTGCATCTGGATACAACTGTCGTTTTGCGTCTTGTGCTGATTATTTTCATGTTATGAGGCAGATTTCCACCCAAAACAGCAGCATAGCAAGGTATATTGTTGCCCTATGTCAAGTTTTATTAATGTTCTCAATCTGTCTCATAATCTATCAAGAGTCAGTCTTAACAATGACTCTTGCCTTTGAATTGATCATCACTTTTCTACATTTAAACGTTTTTTGGATATTTCTGTATGTTTCTCAGGATTATAATGTACTTTAAACCAACTCACCAAAACATTTGAAGACATTCAGCAATTTCAATCATTTTCAATAAATTAAAATGTCATTGAAAAGTGAAGCTAAAGTCCATCCAGCTCACCAAATATGTTGGACTTGGACTTGACTTATAATTAGGGTTGGCCAATATGTACTGAAAATGTTTTAACAATATATTGTGTTATTTATTTTATGCTGATACCAAATTATTTACATCTTTTTTGTTGTCTATTTAGGCAACTGTGACACTGCAGTCAGCCCCACAAACACAATGATTTTAACACAATTACTCCAAAAAATATGAAAATGCTACAATAAACACATATCCCTAAATATAACTTCTTATTTAAATAGTGCATCTAAGTAATCCTGTGCAGATATTGCACACACTAATTAAATTATTCAAATGATTTTCTATTGTCAGTTATTTTGATGCTAATTTGCAAATGTTTTTTTTAATAGTTAATAATTTTAAACAGTCTGTTAGAGGTTACCTGGTTGGTGTTTGACCAGAATTTGTGAAAACTACTTCAATAAACTCATCTATTATGTTTAATGCAAATCAGCAAATATTTGTAAAAATCTGGAAAATATTCTGAGACAATTTATCATCATTGCTGACATTAACAGTTACTGTTAAGCTGCCTCAGAGCTGTACATTATTAGCGTTTTGTAAACTTTTTGCCTTTTGTTTACCAAAATGCGCTAAAACTAAGTAGCTTTAGCACGTTTCTCTGTTTTAATGATTGTTAGCATAGCTGGATGCATTTGACAAATGCCTTTGTCTTCTTGGCAACAGATTCATGTCAGCAACAGAAGCTGGTATCACTGTGTTGTTGATCAAGCAACTGAGTCTTTAAGCAGTTCAGAGTTTAGTAATTCAGGATTTGTAAGACATGAACAGGAGCGTTCAGCTCTGTTAATGTTTAGTGGGAGTTAGTGAGGCCTGAACAGATGGTCTCACCGTGATTTTCACATAGTCAGATCAGATGTTGTTTCCTGGTTTGTATTTTCACAAATAACCAGAAGGCTGGGAACATTTTATCCCGACTCTTTTCTTTGCAACAGATGACCTGCTTGTGGTTCTATTGTTTAACTTCATCCTGAACTTTCAAGAAACTCCTTTTGGTTCCTGGACTCTCTAAAATGATCACATTTCCTCTCATGTCACAAGTTAACTGCTGGGCTGCAGTAAATAATGCATGCTGTGGTTTGACCAGCTGAGGCAATGCACAGCTGCTCTCACCATGAACACTATCCAGTTTCCCAGTCTGTCTCCAAGGACATTCAGTAAAGTGGAATCCAATACAGGCCTTTTACTCATACTTTAATGAGGGAAACTTGGACATCTGAGTCAGGAGTGATAACCTCAGGTGAATAATGAAGCTTGCCCATTGATTATAAAAGGGGTAATATACCAAACAAACAGCTGAGAATAGAAAATGTTCTTGTTACAAGTTTGGACCGAATGCAGCTGTAGCCACAACTACAGCTGAGAGCAGAAGCTTATATACACTGTCTCATATTAAATTAGACTTCACTTTTTATGTTTTTGTTAGGAAAATTATTTCTATTTTTAAAATGCCAGAAAATGAGAGATAACTTTGAGTTTCCTTTTCTTACAGTAGTTTCCACATTGGGACTAATGTCAGGGTTTTCTGATGGATTCTCCAAAACACTGACCAACATGAGCCCAAACTTTAACTTCCTTGGTGATTTTTCTCCCCCATTCAGAAAAATAACCACACAACATAATGCTGCCACTCCCGTACTTTACTTTTGGGTTGATAATCTCAGACCTGCAAACTTTGGCCCTTTTTTCTCAAAATCCTCAGACCATAGAATATGTATCCAAAAATTATGGCATTTGTCCGTCAGTGAAATTTACACGATGCCCTCTGGCCTTTTAAGTTGGCTTTGCTTTGATGGCTTCTTTCTCTCTGAGTGGCTTTGGTGATTGAAGAATTCATTTTACTGTGGATAATAAAACTTCCTTATCAGCTTCAGTCAGCATCTTTGTTATGCTCTTCATAAGGTGTGTAATTGTATCTGACAATGATGTTGCAAAAGGAAACAATGTGATTGTGGTGTTGCCTTAACTTAACATACATAGTTTCAGTATTAAGCTGTCAGAAGCTTAAAAAGTCATCTGTGCTTTCCACGATGATTTGAAGGCATGGCGATCTGTATCTCTGTCTTTTTTGTTGCTATTTTTGAAAATTATGCCTGGAAGCAGCATAATCCAGCTAAATGATGTTTATTTAATTTTCAGATTCAGACTATTTTGGGGAAATTACTGTACTTGTCTTACCTTGTAGAGGTGAACACACCTGTTCAGGTAGCCGGTTTCTAAAATGCAATGCAAATATTTTTATTTCAGATTAGCTGTTGGATCTCCCTGTATGCCGTCATGCCAGTCATTCGGAAAATTGTCCGATTCCAGTTCCAAGCTTCCTTAGTTCAAGTATTATAAACAGAAAGTGTAACAATAGATTCAGCCATGCTTGCACATTTTTCAATGTTGCATTAAACCTTAATTTGCTCCGTTACTAATATTTCTAAATGTAATCAGGACTGAAGAATATAACTTGTTTGTCTTGAGTATGCAAGAGTTTTACTTGAAAGGCGTTAGATAACAGGCACCATGGGAATGAACAGATGAAAGCGTGCAAAGAGGAGCAAAGAGAAAGATAGGAAGGAAGAGGTCTGGTTTGTGGAACACTAAAAAAAACAATGGTTATCCTTAAATAAATCCTCCAGAAGCATTTATGACCTCAAGTTTGGACAAATGGTTTAAAATGTTCACATAAAGTTAGCCAGGAGGCTTTTAAGTGAGGAAAAATGGAGGAGCTGTTTTATCTTTTGGAGGTTGGAGTCTCATGGGACGTGGTGAAAGATTAAAAGAGAGATTTTTCTTCCCTCATTTGTTGCTGTTTAATAAATGACGCTGTTTAGGAGAAGCTAAAGCAGCTTTAGTTTTGATGGAAGGAGAGAGGAAGAGAAATAGCTTCTCAACGCAGCAGCATGTCCTGTTTCCTGTGTTTGTTTCCACTTATTATGTGCTTCCTGTATGTAACCGGGGGAACTGAGGGAACTTTAAGAATAAAGAGAGCAAAGGACTCCAAAAGTAGATCTGATCTGACAAACAGTACAAACACGGTGGACACTTTTTTTTTCCAATAAACCCAAGAGATGAAAAGCTGCAAAGTACTTTAAAAACACTTCGATTCATGTGATTCTCAGCAGCAGCCTGTGTTCACAACTCTTATCCACAAGTAGTCTTTGAAAAGCCAACAACTAAACAAAGAAGAAAAAGGTTCTGCTCATTCTGACCCACATTTAGTCAGACTTTAGAAGACTGGTGCTCTGCTGGAAATGATTTCATTTCTCAAAAATCTGAAGATGTTTTAGAAGCAGCGTCTGGAAAAAGACAACTGTACAGAGACTAGTTTCCTTTGAGGTAAACGCAGACTGGATCACTCTGCCAGAGACGACTTTACTTCAGACAGGAATACACAACACGGCTACAGTAGTTTAGTTCTCGTCCACTAATTTGGTATAGTAGTAGTTTTAGATTTTTTTATACTTTGGTTCATTTTTAGCCACAGAACTCAAAAAGGTGAAATAGTATATTATGATTATGTCTACATCGATTGGGTAATGAATAATTTAACAGGAGGCACCAATTTCAACAAACTGATTAAATTATTGTTGAACAACCAACTGAAGTTTTCTCCCCAGTTTTGCTGTTGGCATTTTGCAGACTAGCATCAGTTCCACCGGGAGGAGAATGGACTGACGTAATTTTTTTTATGTTGCAAACATAAAAATAAAATCAATTTCACATCAGTTTGAAAGGCTAATAAATATATTCATAAACACAAAAACAAAGGATATTATATCTGCATAATTTCAGTATGTTTTAGTTTTTTATAAACTCACAATATAATTCCTTTTAGCTAAATTATCATTTTTATTTATTTTAGTTAAGGAAAATGTTTTCTCAATTGAAGTTTTCATTTATTTGGTTAGTTTTATTTAACTATAATAACTTTGCCACACCGCTATTGCCCTGCAATAAGAAGGTCTTGGGTTTGAATCTTGACCTTGGGTTTTTCTGCCTGGCGTTTACTTTTTCTGTGTTCCTGTGGAAATCCAAAGCCATTCATGAGAGGCTGATTGGTCTTTCTAAATCGTCCTACAGCATGAGTGTGGATGTTTTCCCAGTATTTACGCCACCTCTCGACTGTAACCCTGCAACGATAGGCGGGTGAAGACAACTGACAGGTTGAGTTTGGAACATTTTCTCTATTATTCACAGCCTCAGAGTTGTAAAAATGGGATATCATGAGTTTTCTTTCTCTCTTTAATGATATTAGCTACTTAAACAAACACAACTTCCTTACTAGCAGATGTGGAGGTTTTTTATATAGCTTACAAGCACAGGGTTAGCTTTTTTAAATGATAGCATAAGCCTAAGGCGGGTGAATGTCACACTGCATTAAAGCGGATACATGGTCCAACTGGTTTATCTACATGGGAAGGTCATCCGTAAGGGAAGCAGGGCAGGGAGAGGGGGGAGACTAGAAGAGAGGGGGCATTGTTCTGGAAAAGGCTTCAGGGCTTTGTCTCTCAGTGTGTGTGTGTGCGTGCGTGTGTGTGTTCACTGATGAAGGCCTTTGATTATGTGAATATATTATCTTTTTGATGCAAATGTTTTATATGCATATGTAATATGCATGTAGAAGAAAAGTTATTCACTTTAACTGTTTTATGGACACCTGCATGTTCTTAAAGTGTTGTGGAGTGTGTGTGAGTGTGTGGGGGGGAGGGTGTGTGTTTGTGTGTGTAATGGGTGTGTCCATATGATGCTGCCTGCCGGGGGCCGGACTTGACTTGAGTCCTGCTTCAGGTGTGTAACAAAGCCTGGCGTTGTGTGTGTAGAGAGGCATGCTTTACCGGGATAAACCTGCAGAAATCGGTTTGGATTCTGAAGATCTCTGGAAACGAGGGGAGCGCAGATGAAAAGGGAAGGAGAAAATGGGAGAAATGTTCACGGCTTCATCCTAAAAATTTCCAGGAAGCTCAAGGATTCCTACCTGCCTGTACTTGCCCGGGACGAGGTAACTTCTGTGACAGTTTTCTCTTTTGCTCTCGGTGTGTATATGTGCTGAGTTCATGAGAAACGACAGAAATGTCGGCAGGTTTGTCCAGAACGGGTTGAGATAAAATCCAGAGGTGGAACATGTTTGCTTCTAATGCCCTTTGAATGTAAGGAGCGTTCGCTGACCTTCGGTCAATCCAAGTTCAGGCAACGTGAGAGAGGCCACTGGAGGATAAATGGGTTTATTATGATTAATAAAACCATAAACCTGATGTGGGTCAGACCGCATGTCCCTCCTGCTGCTGTGAACGTGGACACTAAGCTCGCTCTGGGACCTTGAACTTGCCTTTTCAAGAGCTAACTTGAGTTGGATCTTTGTGATTCTATATTTGGAAAATAAAACTTGCTTTTGTCAAAGTTTAGGGGATGTAAGAATTTTGGTGTTTTTCTCATCAGAGTGTGTCTCCAAGGTGTTTCGGTTGTGTTATGGAGATCAAAACAGTTGACTCACAGCGACTCAGTCAGAGCCGCCACACCAAGTAGTCTGAAGATCACACCTCGGAAAGCATGACCCAGCACTTGGCTCTTGCACATCAATAAGCTCCGATATTGGTTGATGTGAGAGTTATATGTTGTAATCTAAATACAACCAACAATACAGAAAGATCATTTTCATAGTTTTAAAGTCTTTCATTCTGAAAATTGGGATAAAAATCCTCTTGCTTTTCTATTTACGTGCAGAAATGTAAAAGAAAAGAAGGGACGGAAGAAAGGGACTGCTGTTTCTGTTGAAGATATAAAAGAAAACGTTTTGTAAAACTTTGAGGGTTGTATGATAAAAACATGTTTATTCATTTGTAAAACATGATTTATCTGTGACGTTCCTTCAGATAAAGTGATACAGTACCACCTGTGCAGTTCGTGTTAGTAATAGGTCATCTGCCTCTTTTCACTATGTCTGTTTTGGCAGTATTCAAATGTCTCTGGAGAGCAGCTGCACATATCACACTTTTCTCTTTGAGAGAGAGAGCTGTGACTCATTAGCTCTGTGCAACCTGAGTTCGACTGCAGGATCCTGCAACCCAAGAGCCATATGTGTGTGAATGTGATAAGCCTGAGCCTTAATGCTGCAGAGGCAGGTTTCTGTGTATTGATCATACTGGACTGGAGCTGATTAGAAAGGTTGTCTGCATGTGGTAACATGTGAGTCTTTATTTGTTTTTGCCGTGTCTTTTTCAGGTGTTTTTATGGTTGGTTTGCAGAAACAAGAATGACAAGAAGTATTACTTACATGAAAACTTGAATTATTAGGCCAGTATCCATGTAATTATTTAAAATAGTCTCAAAACAACAATATTATTGTTTATTGCAATAATTATTGGGACCATTAACTGCCCAGCAAAATTTGTTATTATGACTTTCCTAATTCCTCCATGAAACATAATAGAAAATTACAATGAGGAACGTTGAGCATTTTGTGAAGTACTGTTTTCGGATCAGTTTTACAAATAATGAACTTTTTAACATATCTGCATCAAATTATTATAAATATCAGGATTTTGAAAAGATTGTGTGTATTTTGAAGGAAGAATCTTGGACTAGGCCAGCTTATGATGCCAGATTTTGATAATTATCGAAGCTTTACTCTTGCTAAAGCGACTTTGTTCAGGTAATTTTATGACTTTCTACATTGGATCTTTATCCCACTAATATTATAATTTTATTGTCATAATAATATGACTTTATTCTTGTAATTTAAATCAAATCCTAGTGTGGTTTTAGTATTCTCTCATATCATAAAGTATTTGATACTAACTGAATATTTAGTCAGGCTTCCTGCAGTCAGACACGCTGCTTGAAGTATAAAACTAAGCTACCTTACATTTCTTTTTTTTGCACACTGTGGGTGACACCACAACCAGAACATTTCAAAAGAGTCAAATTTGAGTCTCTTGTATTCTAGAGGATGTTTTAGGAGCCTTGTTTCATCCTGCTGACTGACAGTGCACAGCGACAGGCACAAACTGCAGAAAACTTCAGTCATGTTGGCTCTTCTTCTAGAATCTCTAACAAAACTATTCTTCAGATCTGAGAAGAATTGAAGACTAGTTCAATTCTTCAATTGAACTGTTCTTCAAGGAATAGTTCAAAGGCCTAACTTTTTAACTTTTCTGCCCTTTTGTCATTATTTTTCACAATATCTTCTAGATTTTACCATCCAAAAACCTTCAAATATAAAACCTCATGATGCGATTTGTTTTGTCTTCTTCTCAGGCGGAGTCCTCACCCATGAAGACTACCTGGTACTGCCCTCTGGATTTGGTAAGAATGGCCGGATTCCGCGCCGCAGCTTGCACTCTGGGGTCTGTGAGTTAGTAGGGCAGCAAAATGGGGTAACTGTGTCAGGGACTTTCCCTCAGGCTGAACCAGGGTCGCTTTGGCTAAATGTAGGAAATGAGTTCAAAGATGTGTGCATTGTTTTCATTACACATGGGGGGCATTTGTCCAGAATAAACAGTGCAGAGTGTTCAGTTTGAAGGTAAAAACAGTGACTCATCTACTTATTTTTATCCAAACAACAAGCTAAAGTACAAAAAAAGAGTTTCAGAAAACTTTGGGAATTAATCAGTTTAAAGGATCAAAGCAAAGTCTGGCTGACTGGAAGCAGAGTTTAGATAAATCAGATTTTCCTAACATTTTCCCTGCTTTACAGTCCACTGTGGTGGAGGAGGAAGACGAAGGGGTTATCTACACGGTCGTGGTCAAACAGCAGCATGCCAGCCCTAACAGTCCAGCGGTAAGCTACTTTCAATTTGACTCAGTTTCAGAAAACTCTGCAGGCATGTCAAGTGTCTTGTCCTCTCTTCCTGTTGACTTCCAGTCAACCGTTTCCCGTTCCCAGTGCGTGAAAGCTGGAACGGAAGAGAAGCTGGTGCTGCACCTCCTCCACTCTTTCTCACTGGGAGATTCCTCCTTCATCTCCATCTTCCTGTCCACCTATCGGTCCTTCACCTCTACAGAGAGAGTGCTGGACATCCTCACTGACAGGTAGGTAACTGGCAAAGTCGAGGTTTGAAAATAGAGTTTTATTTCAGTTCATATTGCAGCAATCTTCAGCAACTGAAGCTGCTTCCTGTCTGGTCGGCTGCACTGCCTGAATCAGTCTGATCCTGTCTGGTAGGATTTTTACTCCTCTGGGACAAGGGACCGCTTATTCTGTGTTGAATTAGAGGAAAAACATCCGACCATAAATGCACGCTAATGGTTCTCAGCACAAAGAAAAATGACACATTTGTTCTGCTCTGTTTCCTAGAGGAATATTTCCTCCTCAACATTCCTTTTCTTGGTATTATCTCTACCTCCTGATTTATACTGTCTCCTTGGCACTTCTTCAAGAAGCGAGAAACACTTTAGGTTCTCACAAATTCCTCTCATGCAGAGAAAATTTAGGTTGCAGTATGTCATGCCACATACTCTGGTTTGCATGCATATTCAATCAGATCTTGTAAATGTATTTGTAATTTATAAAACCCCCTGAAAACTCTTTCTAAAGTCATTGACACATTGCATGGAGTTCCTTACTGCTTTTTTAAAACATATATCAGACTGGTGCCTCACTTATAAATGCAGTTATTTATCATTTTTCTCAATGATTAGGTCCTTTGGAGTGCATCAAGAGTGCAGTGAGGTTTCTAATATTTATAAAAGAGCATAAGAGTTCCCCGTCTGTTTTGAACGTGCAAAAGATGGTGGTGCTTTATAATCTATATGATATCATACCATGGTAATTAGTGCTGTGTGAACAAGGAGGACAATGCTGTCCTCATGCTAATGCTAATGCTACAACCTCTTGATGCTGATGCCAAACCATTCAAACTCTCTGAGGTCAGTATTAGGTTAGAGTTCTGGAGCAGAACTCTAACCAGCAGAAAACAACACATACCTTCTCCACACATTTCAGATCATTTTGGTATGATTTACTTTGACAGAGCTGGAAATATCTGTTTGTACATAAACTCAGTTTAAATTCCCCCATAGTCCCTTTCACTGGAGAGGTTGACAGTAAACAGAGTATGAATAAAGATGGACTGAAACTGTTGGTAGAGGTGCAGAAACCTCCCGTAATTTTAGTAAAAATGTATGTTGTGAGGAAACATGCTAATACAGCTGTAATAGCAGAACTGAAAAGCCTTTGTGTCGAGTGTTGGAGCTCGTGAGGCTAATATGAAGTTAGCCTGACCTATTTTAGAAATTAGATTCCAGTATTTTCATATTGTGGTGTTTGAAGTGTCGTTGACGTCTTTCACACTGCTGGGCCGTCTTACTTTGCTGTGAAGAGTGACTGAATATCACCACAGTATCGCCACAGGGTTGCCTCTTGAACAAGCTGCGTCATTGTTGCATTTCCTAGATGAATGTGTTTGCTGCTGAAAGATCTTATTATTTATATTTGGCTGAATGAATTTTTATTTCTCGTTCACAGATTAGAGAATCCGCCTGGGGACAGCGAGAGAAGTCAGACAAGACAATCCTTCAACAAGTGAGTTTAAAAAAACGTAAACAGGCAAAGAAAGCATGTAACGACTTCTTCTGCAAACACTTCTGCTTCTTGCTTCTGCTGTTGAAAGATTGAATTTTTATTTGACTGTTGGTTTTACTTTTGCTTTGAAGTATTAAGGGTTATGCATAGTTTTGTAATATATTGTAATATGTTTCTGTTACATAAACGCCAGTGAAGTGAGTTAAATTAAATGTGAACATGGCTGCTTGTGGTTAGTGAAGCTATTAAGGATATTTTTTCTAACATCCGTCTTTATGGATTTGCCCAATCCTTAAGCAGAAATCTATTGAGTCCAGTTCTATGCTTTGTGCTCTGACTGACGTCATGCTGTATTATTTATTTTACATTATTTTTTGAAAGTAAAAAAACATGTAAACCAAGGTAGTCAACCTATTGTTTTTGTGAATTTCAATCTCTTCATTGTTTATTTTACAGTGTGACTAAGCTTGTGAAGCTGTTGGTGTATTTAAGTGTGCTGTACTGGTAAATATATGATACAGTACATTTGTGTCTGTATTTAAAAGAAAGAGACATTTTAAGTGAATTCAGTGCTGTTTTCTGAATCTCTATCGGCCGATACTAAACCTCAGGTATCTGTATCGGCAACGAGAATGATAAAAGGTGATTCCCTACTTTAAATGCTTTCTTTATTCAAATACAGTCATATTTCTTTTACCACATCCAGTTTTAATCTAAATTACTGACTTTGAAGCCGCCATCGTCTAAACCCTGAATATTTCATTTTTCGTTCAACTTGTTTTTCTGCTTCTCACAAGTTATTTTTGGCTCTAAGCAGATTCCAGATTCCAGCTTTCTTTTCTACCTCCTGTCCATGCAGAGCGGTGTGTACTGTGTTCAGCACGTGGCTTTCGGAGTATCCTGAAGACTTCAGGAACCTCGGAGATCCGTCTCGTTTGTTGCGTCTGGCTCCTCTGCTGCCTCAGGACTCCTCGTCTGCTGTTGACCTTCGAGCTCGCCTCCTCCGGACGGCCGAGGAGCTCAGCGAGAGAGCCCTGCTCCCCGACAAACACAGAGGTCTCTTCTGACTGCTGTTCAAATGAACAGAAATTTTCTTTCCACTTTAAATCACAAATGCAGATTACATAGAAAATGACTAAATATTTTAGACATGTTGTCATAGTTTATATTCCTAGTTTGGTTTCTGATTTATTATGAATCTAAGGTTCTGCAGTTGAAAAAGGTGATTATTTATTTAGTCACTTGCATCATGAATGCTAATGGTTTTTCTGTTCTCTCTGTAAAGTTTTGTAATGAAGGAATTAGAAGCTGCTTCTTCTATAGATTTTTAGAAATTTTAGAAAACATAACTATCACTTGATAGCTCTATCTTTACCTCTCCTCAATTCTCCATAAGGTTTAAAAGATTATTTTGAATGCATAATCTTGTTGACAGTGATTATTTTGCTGCATGATAAGCAGCTAATTAACTCAAAATCGTACCTATTCATGCTGTTAGCCTGTAAACCGGTCATGTGGCGGCAGCATAGCCTCAAATCCAGCTGGAGCTTTAGTTTGATTGCACAACAACAGGAGTTTGGGAAACACAACCTAATGAGTTTGATTGTTGTTGTCAGTGAAGCTGGCTTAAGCACTTCTCAGCATGTAGGTCAGCCTTCCTCCATACCCTGGTCCAACTATCTCGCCGTATGAAAATAACATGTGGCATTTTCTTACTGAGACCAGCATACATAATCTAACATGCTAATAAACACTGCTACAGAATCAACACAGTGGCATCTGGAATAGAGCAAGAATAAAAACTAATAAAAGCATTACTGTGTACTGTTTTCACGACTGCTGGATTTCGCTAAAATACTAGTGAGCGAGCTAGCTGCAAGAATTGTTTACATATAGAAGTGGGAGAACAATCAAAGAAGTTGTCAAATAAATGCTGGTCAAGTGCTTATGTTTTTATAAAGCATTTATTTTAAAGGATATTAGTACTTTTCTGTGCCATTCAGCTTTCAAAAGTAAAAATGTAGAATGTGACAAGTTAGTTTTAGTTAGTTTATGGTAGCCTGTGCAGCCCGAGAATCATGTTCCTTTGTTATAATTATAATTTTAAGCAAAAGTTATCGATTAGAAATGCAAAAAATTATACTAGAATAAAATTAAGAAATAAATATTGCCCATAATTAACATAAATTCAGTTCTTAAAGAAAATAATTGATAGATAAAGTGACCTAAGTTTATTGAGCTTGAAATTGTAATGTTTTAAAATAATGTGAAACTGGAATCCAGGCAATGAGCGGTCTTTCATCAATATATTTTGACTGGAAAATTATTTGTCGCATAAAAAATATGGCTTTATGACTTAACCTTCTACAGTCAGGAACCAAATTTACTTTCCCTCGAGAAAACATGTTCTCTTTATTTCCTATCAAACCTGACTGATAGCTAAATGCTATATTTCAACTGAATTTTCTGAGGAAATCACTCTGTTTTGTCTGCCTCTGCAGATCAGAGCAGCTCTAGCAGCTCTCCTCCTGATCCTTCAAAGTTTGAACCCACCAGCGTCCTGGGATTCCCTGCTGCTGTCATCGCTGAGCAGCTCACAAAGATAGAAACTGTAAGTTTGCTTTGTTTTTTAGGATTGAAAAGGCTTATTTTAAAACAAATGTTCATGTTGAGGGACTTTTTAAAATCTTTCTTCCAGGAGCTTTTTGTCCGTTTGGTGCCGTACCACTGTCTCGGCTCGCTGTGGTCTCAGAGGGACAAGAAGGGCAGGGAGGGCGTTTGTTGGTCTGTCCGGGCCACCATACGGCAATTCAACAAGTTAGCCAACGCCGTCTTAGCATCGTGTCTCTGGCCGACGAAGCTGCGCAGCCAGCAGAGAGCCCGACTGCTGGAGAAATGGATCAGTGTTGCAGAGGTCAGCGGACTAAAACCTCGACATCAGATCTTAAAACTACGACGGTGCATTAGGAACTTTGTAGATAGAAAAAAAGGAGTACATTTCTGCCAGAAAAACTCTTCAATTCTGTGATTAATCACTGAAAATTTCCAGAAAAATCTTAAGTTTTCAAAGTTGAAAATTTTTCTAGAAATATGAACCTAGAAATTTTGAGATTCGTCTAAAAAATATTCTATGTCCGTGTGTCAAAACGGACACCTGTGTCAAAACACCTGCTTTGACACGTTTTGACCGGTGTCCGTTTGACACCGGTCAAAACGAACACATCTGTCCGTTTTGACACATGGACAGGTGTGTCAGAATTCTTGAGTTTCTTTTTCTTACAAATTTGTGACTTTTTGAACTCATAATTTTCAAGGTTTTTCTAGAAAAATTCAGTTTTTTCTAAAAAACAAAAAACCATTTGACTTTGAAACTCTAAAATTTGCTTGTATTCTCTTTAAAAAATTTCATATAAACACATTATTTTATGTTACGGGAGATAAAATATTTGCCTTTGCCTTTTCTAAAAAAAGTTAGTGTTAGCACATAAGTTCAAGTGTGAAAGCATTAAAATATATCAGTTGTGCCTTTTCACACAACTTGGCTCATATAATCCTCTCATAATGACCCTCTTCTCAGGGTAATGTGTGCAAATGGAAGTGAACTCATAACAGTAGCTGACAGAAAAACAGGTTGTGTAGAAACCTGGATGTTTGGTTGTTTTCAGGAAAAAAATGCAAAGAGAAACTCAATCCTGGCTTCTACTAGAAACACTGAGAGTTTAAACACAGCTGCATATTTGTGGGTAAATGATGATAAAATTATAAAATATCAACCTTAACTGTAATATTAGTAGCAGTTTGATGTTGAAAAACCCTTAGGATCAAATGCAGCTTGCAGTTTGAATTACATGAGCAGCTTATTTCTCCCATTTAATGAAAAGGTAACTTCCTGTGTTTGTTGGAAATGTGGAGTCATTAACTGAAAGTATAACTTAATGCCAGATAGGCATTCCAACACACACACACGCACACATGCATGCACACACACACACGCACACACATCCGAAGATGTTTTCTGTTGCAGCATGTCTTCAAGCAAAAGCCTTTATTCAGCAGTCCTGCTCTGTGTCTTTGAACAGGAATGCAGAGCCAGGAAGAATTTCTCCTCCCTGTATGCCGTCGTGTCGGCGCTGCAGAGCAACCCCATCCACAGGCTGAGGAGGACCTGGCAGGAAACGGACAGGTGTGTGTCAACCGAATTCATCCATTAACAGATAATGAGAAATGCTCTTTGCATAGCTTTCGGTAGATTTTTGGGTCTTCGTCTTGCTAGAAAATAAATGCACTATGACATCGTAGTTCTCTTGCAATCCTTAGTGAATCATTGCAATCATTAGTGAGAATGCTGGAGGGATTCACACTAATAATCATCTGACCAGCTAACCCAAGCTGGTCGAAGATAATGTTGAGTTTCCTTGGATTTGATGATAAAACTCAAAATGCACTTATTATTAAGATCAAATACATTTGATCTTAATGAAGATTTGAGTAAAGTGTTCATATTCTAATGTTTTTCAAAATCAACATGCATCATAGTTTATTTTCCTGGATTTTGAAGCTGTATTTGTACCATGTGCTTACAAGCTGAGCTAACCTACCTACCTTACATAATGTTGAGTTTCCATGGATTTAAGAAAAACCTACATGATCTTAAAAATGAAATGTTTAGAAAAGTGCTCATATTCAAAATCAATATGTAATTTACCAGCCTTTTTTTATGTGTTGATTTTAGATTTGAATTAGCCAGTATGGGTATTGAACCCATGACCTTGGCATTATTATCACTAAGCTCTGACTATCTGAGCTAACCAACTGTATACGCTTTCCAGTTTCCATGGATTTAAGAAATACGTACTTGATCTTAAAAATTGAAGAAAAGTGCTCATATTCTAATGTTTTTCAAAATTAACATGCATTGTAGTTTATTTTTCAGCAATTGTTGATTTTATTTCCCAGCAGTTTTTAGTTTTGAAGTGTTGATTTTATTTCCCAGCAGTTTT